TGTGCATGCATGTTTATGCGTGCGCGTTGGGTGTGCATGCGCGCATATGTGCGTGCCTATGAGCATGTGCGCGCGAGTGTGTGTGTGCGTGTGCGTACGTGTGTGTGCGTGCGTGTGTGCGTGTGCACTGCTCCTGGCTGCAAGGCGTCGAGGTTGCCGAAGTGCAGGCTCTCCTTGCACGTGTGCGGCGTGCACATGTGTGTGTGCGTGCGTGTGTGTGTGTGCGTGTGTGTACGTGCGTGTGCGTGCGTGTGCGTGTGTGTGTGCGAGCGCGGGCGATGACTCACCGCTCCTGGCTGAAGGTCGTCGAGACTGCACCGCTTCCTTGGCGTGAAGGTCGTCGAGACTGCCTGAAGTGCAGGTCTCCTCCTGACCCCGTGTGTGTGCGTGCGCCTACGTGCGTGCGTGCGTGTGTGTGTGGTGCGAGCGCGCGTGAGCCACTTCGACTTACACTATGATGCCGCGCCCTGTTCAAGTTGGGCTTGTGCAGGGTCGTGTACATCTGAGGTGACTCTGTGTGCGGTGCGTAACATGATGCGTATGGTAGTTGACGGTGGTGTGCGGCTGCCGTGCGTGCGTGCGTGCGAACGTGAGCCAGAACGCGCTGTGCGTACTGTGTGCGGGGTGCATCGAGCGTGACAGCTGCGTAGCCTCGTGCGTCTCTAGATTGGCTAGGGTACGTCCACGATGGCAGCCTTAGCTTATACACGCGTGCACAGGTTCGCTACGTGACTCCTCCACGGCAGCCGTAGGCGCGCGTCAGGAACCGTGCGACGCAGCTGCCGTGCGACGGGCGTGGTACTGAGGATATCCAGTGCGTATGTAGCTAATCACCACATGTGCGTAGCACGCGTATGTGGTCCGACGCTAGCGTGCAACTGGGACGTGATGTGCTTACATGTGTGCGTGCGAGCCTGCATGTACCACAGAGCGAGAGAGAGGGAACGTTATACAGAAGAGGACAGAGAGAGACGAGAGCCATATGATACGAAGGGAGGGAGCAGAGAGTTATACAAAGAGGAGGAAGCAGAGAGAGAAGGGCATATATCACCAGAGGACGAGCAGAGCTTAGTCGCCAGAGAAGAGAGAGAAAGGAGTCAGTTATCCGCATAAAGGGCAGAGAAGAGAGGGGGGCATCACTACCACAGAGGTAGAGAAAGAGAGGGACAGTTACTACATCGAGGGAAGAGAAGAGAGAAGCATATAATATACCGAGAGAAAGAGAGGGCCCAGCTATACATAGAGGAGAGAGACGAGCATATATACACATGGAAGAAGAGAGAGAGAGGGGCAGATATACACAGAGAGGCTGAGGCACACGGCTGAGACACGTGCAGACACAGACAGCAGTACACATCTGAGACATCAACGCTGAATGCTGAGACAGCTACGCGTGTCTCCACCACGACTACGCTCTCACCTCTCCAGCAGGCACCGACAGTGAGTTTACGCTGAACGCCCCGGACTGGATGCAGCGGCCAATCATCGATGATCTCCGGGTTGTGCTTCGTGTCCTTTCTCAGCGCTCCATCGATGAACAGTGTCAACTGCAAGCGCAGCAATCAAGTGATGTCAGGGTGTTCACACGGCAGCTGTACGAGCAGCCTGGATGACGATGGCAAGGAAGGATTGATAATGGAGAATGGAGGATGTGAGGAGGATGAAGATGCAAGGAAGACTGAGAATGGAGGATGTGCGGAGGATGAGGATGGCAAGGACGGATGAGAATGGGAGATGGAGGCATGGGAAGGAGATAAAGATGCAAGGAGGTAATGAGAATGGGAGGATGGGAGGAGTGGAGGAGCGATGAGGATGCGAGATGAGAATGGGGGGGTGGAGGGTGGGAGGAGGATGAGGATGCAAAGGAGGATGAGGCCTGGAGGATGTGGTGAGGATGAGGACTGAGAAGTGGAGGATGTGATGAGGATTGTGAGGATGGGAGATGTGAGGACGATGAGAATGGGAGAGAGGGATGGAGGCATGGAGGCAGGATGAGGCTGGGAGGAAGATGAGGATTGAGGAGGGATGAATGATGGAAGGAGGATGAGGATGAATGATGTGAAGGGAGGAGGATGTGAGGATGAGGAAGGAAGGACGAGGATGGGAGGATGTGAGGAGGATGAGGATGTGAGGAGGATGAGGATGGGAGGAGGATGAGGATGAGAATGGAGAGGATGAGGATATGGGAGGAAGATGGACGGATGGAGAAGCATGAGGATTTGGAGGAGGATGAGATGGGAAGGAGGATGAGGGATGAGGATGTGAGGAAAGATGAGATGTGAGGATGAGGATGGGAGGGAGGATGAGGATGAAAGAGATGAGGATGGGAAGAGGATAGAGGATGGTTGAAGAGGAATGAGGATGGGAGAGATGAGGATTGCGAAATGGAAGATGAGGATTGGAGGAAGATGACGGATGCAAAGAGGTGAGGATCGGAAGGATGGAGATGTCGAGGAATGTGATGAGCGAGACGATGTAGGAAGAATGAGGATGGGAGGAGGATGAGGATGGGAGGAGGATGAGGATGAAGGAGGATGAGGATGGGAGGAGGATGAGGATGGAGAAGGATGAGGGAATGGGAGGAAGATGAGGATGGGAGGAGGGATGAGGATGGGAGGAGGATGAGGATTGGAGGAGGATGAGAAAGGAAGGATGGGAGTAGAACGAGGATAAGACAAGAGCAACGTAAGGATGAGATGAAGCAAAGGATGAGGTTTAGGGAAGGAGGAAAACAAAGCAAAGATGAGACTGAGGTAAAGACATGAGACCAATGCAAGAATATGATGAGACTGAGGCGAAGATGCAGCAATACACTATCAATAAAAAACGAAACACCGATTGGCAGTAAGCCTGCTTAAAGCCACAGGTGCTTGACCAACTTCTAATCACGACATTCAGGCAACTTTACCAAACACCATGCATGCCACCTACTGCTGGCTCACACATGGCAGACAGGGGGAGCCACCTACCTTGGGAAGCTGTGCGTTGAGCACGTAGTGATGCCACTCGCCGTCGCAGACCTCCGGGAGCTTCCAGCGCCACTCTGCCGGAGCGAACGTGCTGAGATTCGCTTCACTGTACTCACGCCGCAGCAGCAAGATCAGCCGACAGTTCCGCACGAACAGCGAGAAGTGGTGACGATTCATCTCTGCAGTGATCGATCACATCAGTGATTATGGCGACAGCAACACCTATACTGACACTATATCATTGCGACTAATCTGTATAAGGAGTCTCATTTACCCAAATATTATATCGTGTTATTTACGTATACTATATTGCATGCGTAGTATTGGTAATGGATTTTACAGATTTGATGGACGAGGCTTTATCAAAGGCCAAAAATTGATACACGGTATGCAGAAGATCGTAATTCTCTGTCTGGATAAAAATAGCGTGTATGAAGAATTAGCAATACCAGCAGTGATAAGTTAGATAATATATAGTACATGGTAGATAATAATGCCGTTGCTGCATGTAAATAGTTTATATATAATTAAATATAAGATTAAATTCAGGATGAGATTAAAAAATAGTATTTATGCATGTTATGTTAGGCATGATTGCGGATGGAGATTTCGCAGGCTACTAATGCACACTGCATCACCGCACGCCTCTAACTAGTATGGCTGTAAGCGTGTGTACACGTGTGTCTGTGTGCGTGCGTAACAGATGCGTATGGTAGTACGTGTGTGTGCGTGCGTGCGTGCGTGCGTGCGTGCGTGCGTACGTGACAGACGCGTGTGCTTACTGTGTGCGTGCATGCGTGCNACGTGTGTGTACGTGTGCGTGCGCGCGTGCGTTACAGATGCGAGTGCTTACTGTGTGCATACATGTGCGTGCGTGCAGGCTTGACAGACACGTGTGCTTACTGTGTGCGTACGTGTACGTGTGTGCATGCGTGCCTGCGTGCGTGCGTGCGTGCGTGCATGTGTGCGTGCGTGCATGCCTGCCTGCGTGCGTGTGTGCATGCGTGCGTGCCTGCGTACGTGTGTGTGCGTGTACGTGCGTGCGTGCGTGCGCGCGTGAGACGCGTGTGCTTACTGTAGCCGTACGTGTGCGTGCGTGCGTGCTTACTGTATGCGTACGTGTGCGTGCGTGCCTGCGTGTGTGCCTGCGTGCGTGCGTGCGTGCGTGCCTGTGTACGTGTGCTTGCGTGCGTACGTGTGCGTGCGTGTGCGTGCGTGCGTACCTGCGTACGTGTGTTTGCGTGTGTGCGTGCGTGCGTGACTGACGCGAGTGCTTACTGTGTGTGTGCGTGCGTGAGTGCGTGCGTGCGTTACAGACACGAGTGCTTACTGTGTGCGTGCCTGCGTACGTGTGCGTGCGTGCCTGCATACGTGTGCGTGCGTGCCTGCGTACGTGTGTGTGCGTACGTGTGCGTGCGTGCGTGCATGCATGCGTGCGTGCATGCGTGCGTGCGTGCGTGCGTGCGTGCATGCGTGCATGCGTGCCTGACAGACGCGTGTGCTTACTGTGGTCGTCGGCGTTGCACACTATGTGCTCCTTGGCGTGTTTGTCCAATGTCACATTCTCCTCATGCTTCATCCACAGTGCCAGTGAGAACGTCTCTGTCAGTCCATCCTGCATCACCTCAGGTGGCAGCACCGCTCCCGATTCGCCATCAAACTTGAACACCTGGCGGCGAAAAAACCATGTCACTATTTTCCTCGCTATAGATTAAGAAAGTCGACTACAGGTGGCAGCACTGACTGTGTAGTTAGCAGAATTTCTCTAATGGAACCCAAGCGCTGAGCTTAGCATGCAACACATATTGCTGACGTGAGCTGCGCAATAGGAATTTGTGAATCAATGAACGAATGCAAGAAAACAGAATGATGCTTAAAACGTGCTCTGTTCACATCGTATTTGAAAACATGTACAAGACATGAAGGCAAATGACCAAACCTCAATTACCCATTGTCATGTAACCAAAAATATGTAACTAAACATCTTTTCGCATGCCGTCTAGCCAGCCTATACACTTGCTCAGTGAAGAGTGTGACCATTTTAAATTCATATCATTGATACAGAAGTCAGGGGTAATAAACTCAATTGCATAGCAAACTCTTAACTAATGCGGAATAGGTGAATGCTGCATTTCTATAGCTAACATTACCATTGCTGGTGTGTTCTCTCATGAGAAACTGAGAGCAACTGACTTCAGTGCTATTTCAGGCTTCATTTCATGACATGAAACAATTGAGCAATAGCGATTTACTGGGCAGAAAACTCGTGAATGTGCGTGCGTGCGTGCATATACGTGCGTGCGTGAGTATAGTCCGCAGGCTGTAAGATAAATACCTACCTGGTCAGACTCCTGTCCTTCATCCTTGTGCAGGGCATCAGTCCATGTTGCTCCCTGACTGGGCAAAAACTCAAACACGTCTTCAGATGCACCTGAAAATGGCAAGAAACGTGGTCGCATATATGATGTATTATAACAATTCACATGCACATATATATATATATATATATATATATATATATATATATATATATAGTATANTAAAAATATCCGTAGCCATCTCGGCCACGAATCTGTAGTTATTTAACATGAATAAAGTGTATGTTTTGTAAGCGCAGTAACAGTGTGCGTATTTTTAATTAATTTCTGTTCGATGCTTATTCAGGCCTGCAGCCTATGGACGCCCTCTACTGTTGTTCAACACCTATAGTGCCGCTGGCGCCGCCAAACACGTGGATCGCCGCCACCAGGTGGCACCACTTACCGCAGAGTTTGCGCTGGGACTTGCTGGAGTAGGTGTCGCGGTCGCATCCTTTGCCGATGTGCTCCGTGGAGAGCTTGATGTTTGCCGAGGGGGTGCCGGCATCGCAGCGTGCTCCACAGAGGTCGAGGCTAGCCGCAGCGAAGATAGGCTGCGGGGTGAAGTCCGGGATGTAGTCAACCTGCTCCTTGATGCCTGCAGGAGAGAAAGAGAGAGAGAGAGACGGGGTGAGTATGGACATACGATGTGTGAGGGGAGGGGAGTGCGAGGGTAGGAAGGAGAAGGTGGGAGGAGAAGGTGGAGAAGGTGGGAGGAGGGGAGGGAGAGAAGTCCGGGATGTAGTCAACCTGCTCTTTGATGCCTGCAGGAGAGAGCGAGAGAGAGAGACCTAGAGATGGTTGAGGGGAGGGGAGTGTGAGGGAAGGGAGGAGAAGGAGGAAGGAGAAGGTGGGAAGAGGGAGGGAGAGAAATCCGGGATGTAGTCAACCTCCTTTTGGATGCCTGCAGGAGAGAGAGAGAGAGAGAGAGAGAGAGAGAGATCTAGAGATGGTTGAGGGGAGGGAGGAAGGGAGGAGGAGGGAGGAGAAGGTGGGAGGAGGGGAGAGAGAGAAGTCCGGGATGTAGTCAACCTGCTCTTTGATGCCTGCAGGAGAGAGAGAGAGATGGTTGAGGGGAGGGGAGTGTGAGGGGAGGGAGGAGGAGGGAGGAGAAGGTGGGAGGAGGGGAGGGAGAGAAGTCCGGGATGTAGTCAACCTGCTCCTTGATGCCTGCAGGAGAGAAAGAGACAGAGAGAGAGAGAGAGAGAGAGAGAGGTGCATGCGTGGGTGCGCAGTGGATGTGTGCGTGCGTGCGTGCGTGCGTGCGTGCATGCGTGCGTGTGTGCCTGCGTGTGCGTGTGTCTGCGTGTGATTGTGTGTGTATTATGTGAAAAAAGAGGGTGGGGGGCAAGGAAAAACACTAGAAGCGAGTGCGCATTGCAAAATTATTGAAATTAAAGCACTAAATATTTCATACTTTCCTTTTATTATTTTCATTATAACTAATGTACGTAATAAGTAATAATCCAACTGAGAGAGTTGGCCACTGATTTACGTCATATCGCAGGAAGTTTTGCAGCCGGTTTAAATAATTGTCGTTCACTATTACGACAATCCCATTCATTAGGGGACAGAATTAGAAATGCAGACCTGCAGATTAATTTTCAGGCTGTAGCGTTATTACACTGTGCGTATTCTCTAAGGGACATGTATATACACAAGCGTTTAACAATTTAAGTATACATAAAAGGCTGTATTATAACAACGTACATATACAGATTAGGAGGCCACATTAAGGTTAGCATGCAATAACGTCATGTAACCATTCTCATATGTACATGTAGCCACAAGAGACAGTCATGTATTGCAAACTATAGAAAAACCAACATATCTAAATGTATATATGGTATATACATTCACGTAATCGTACATATACATCTAAACATACAGATACATGTATATATAATGTAAGTATCTAACTGGGGGCACATGTAAACATACACACAACATATACATGTTGACATAACAACATGTAGTTGTTATATGATTGTTTACATACATAAGTAATAATGTAATAATTTAAGTACATACAGGAGATACATATAGATATAATGCTAGTACATAATTATGTACATGTACATGTAAACGCAGTACATACGCGTGAGCATGAGTACAGCATGCGATCATATAAGGATGATATTGCAGCCCTAAAGCCCTATAAGCAGATTAAAAAAAGGTAAATAAACACGAAATGTATTTACTACCAAAGTCTTAATGTTTCTCTACTCTATTTCGCCTATAATCACCTGTAAATGCCGGTCAAATGCTCATCTGCAACACACAAGTACACCGCACGCTAACTGCTGCACACTGACACATAAATATAATAATAGTGTATATTTTTATATATTTCTATACATTTCTATATATTTATGTGTCAGTGTACAGCAGCTAGCGTGCGGTGTACTTGTATGTTGCAGATGAGCATTTGACTGGCATTTACAGGTGATTATAGGCGAAAAAGAGTAGAGTAACATTAAGACTTTGGTAGTAAATACATTTCGTGTTTATTTGCCTTTTTTTTATTTTATTGAGACGTTCCAAGTGCCTGTGCGTCTACCTATGCTCCATCGTTTCCCATGATACAGTTTGCAGCACCATGTTCTTTATTACCTATTACAGCCGACTCGTGCCAGTGACGGAACACAAGTAGCGTTTATGACACGACAGTTTTCCTCGACAGCCCCCGCCTGTTTTAACGACGCGTTGTAAATGCTAATGATCCAAATTACGCCGATCGCATTATGCTAATACGCGCGTTTTGCCGTCGGCAGGAAAAAACACCCCAGCACGACAACATTATCGCCGTTACGAATTTACCGCGTATCGGCATGCAAGTCCCGGTCGCCATGACGACGCGAGATATAGGAGGTGTACAACAGTAAGCTTCCGCAATTGCCATCACCGGGCCCACTACTTTCGTCTCTTAGAACAAGGGCCCTTTTTTCGCGCATTCTCTTTTTCGCCGAAATTCGGCACTTAGAGCTGCAATAATTTGCATTATGCACGCAAGGTTGGCATGCCTCGTGGACGTCTAGAAAGCATTTAGATAGTAAAATTATTCTTGTTGTTGTATTCGTTGACATTCCGTCAGGTCGGCGTAATTCACAGGACCGCGTTGGTGTGTTTTTTGTGTATGAAATGCGTGTTCAGACAACTTTGCATGAACTCGCATCACAGAAGCTGGCCCCAAAAGTTCGAGGGAGATAGGAGCATGGGGGGGGGGAATCTAGTAGTTATTTACATGAATAACGTGTATTGTTTTGTAAGCGCAGTAAAGTGTGCGTATTTTTATTAATTTCCTGTTCGATGTTATTCAGGCCTGCAGCTATGGACGCCCTCTACCTATTTGGTCAACACTATAGTGCGCCGGGCCGTCGCAACACGTGGAATCGCCGCACCGAGGTGGCACCACTTTAACGCAGAGTTTGCGCTGGCGACTTGTGGAGTAGGTGTTGTCGCGATCACATTCCCTTGCCGATGTAGCTCCGTGGAGACTTGATGTTTGCCGAGGAGTCCTGCGGCTGCCGGCATCGCAGCCGTGCGTCCAGCGAGAGGTCGAGGCTAGACCGCCAGCAAAGATTTAGGCTGCGGCGGTGAGTCGGGATGTAGTCAACCTGCCTCTTCCATGCGGCAGGAGAGAAAGAGAGAGAGGACGAGTGAGTATAGACATATGGCCGTGTTGAAAGGAAGGGATGTGCTGAGGGCGAGCGCGAGCAGAAGGTTGGGAGGAGGGCTAGGGACAAAGGTCCGGGATGTAGTCAACCTGCTCCTTGATGCCCTGCAGCGAGGAGACAAGGGAGAGAGAGACGGGTCCGTGAGTATAGACCATCTTATGGCGTGTGAAGGAAGGGGAGCTAGTTTGAGGGGGAGGGAGTGGAGAAGGTGGAGGAGGGGCAGGGAGAGAAGTCCGGGATGTAGTCAACCTTGCTCCTGATGCCTGCCAGGAGAGAGAGAGAGCAGAGAGATGAAGGAGGAGTCGAGAGACGAGAGAGAGCGAGAGCGTGGGAGAGGCGAGAAGGAGAGGCCGCAGAGGCGAGAGCGCGAGAGCGAGAGTAGAGAGAGAGAAGAGATGAGAACGAGAGACCGCGAGAGAGACCCCGAAGGTAGAAGAGAGAGAGCTTCTCCCCGATCTGCCTCTAGACGAGGGAGAGAGAGGAGAGAGCCCGGAGAGCGAGAGCTGATAGAGCGAGAGAGAGCAGAGAGAGAGAGAAGAGAGAGAGAGGAGAGCAGGATGAGATGGTGCGTGCCGTGGCTGTGCGCGGCTGGAATGTGTGCGCTGCATGCGTTGCGTGCGTGCGTGCCCTGCGTGTGTGTGTGCCTGCGCTGTGATTGTTGTATTGTATTATGTGAAAAACGGGGGGGGGGGGGCAACGTGAAAAACACTGGAAGCGGTTAGTGGCATTGCCAAAATTATTGAAATTAAAGCACTAAATATTTCATTACTTTCCTTTATTATTTTCATTTATAACTAATGTACGTAATACAGTATCATCCAACTGAGAGAGTTGGCCCACTGATTTAGTTCATATCGCAGGAAGTTTTGACCAGCCCGGTTTATTAAATAATTGTCGTTGACTATTACGACAATCCATTCATTATGGGGACAGAATTTAGAATGCAGACTGCAGGATTAATTTTCAGGCCGTAGCCGTTATTACACGTTGTTGCGTATTCTCTAAGGGACATGTATATACACAAGCGTGCATGCGCGCACACAATAAAAGACGCTCACTGGGTATGCAGGTGCACACACGCACACACACACACGCACGCACACACCACACACACACACACACACACACACACACACACGCACGCGCGCGCGGCACGCGCACACGCACGCACGCACGTCGCATATTACCTTGCCACTGTGGTGAGCAGATTCTGTTTACTCCGATGTTGACGAGCACGGCTTTGGAGGCCTTCAGACCACAGTCGTATGCGACCACGCTCAGGATGTAGTTCTTGCTCTTGCCCCAGTCAAGCGGCTCGGTGTTCTTCACGTAACCTGTTGTCAGCGAGGCAGTTGTCACCGAGAAAGGTCACACGAATGACGACACATGTAATGGTGGGTTGTCACCGAGAAAGGTGACACTAACAATGGCACAGGTAATAGGGTGTTGTCGACGAGAAAGGTCACACTAACGACAGCACAGGTAACGGTGAGTTGTCACCGAGAAATGTCACACTAACGACGACACAGGTAACGGCTGTGAGTTGTCACCAAGAAATGTCGACACTAATGCACGACACAGGTAACGGTGAGTGTCACCGAGAAATGTCACACTAATGACGACACAGCGGTAACGATGAGTGCACAATGAAGAGTTACATAATGATGACATGGTCGTACACGGTGATTGTCACCGAGAAATATCACACTAATGACCGGTACAGATAATGGTGAAATGTCACTGAGTAACGGCTCGCCGACTAATGACGACACAAGCGTAACGATAACAGACGCCGAACGTGACAGTATAGCATACCTTGCCTCATCGATGCGAACGGCACAGCAGGATTTTCCAGCTCGTTTTGCAGATGTCACCAATACAGTCCGGGGTCAGCCAGCTCATCGTCCTAGCCTGAACCTGTGAGACACGCCAGACTGCCTTATGTTTTTTCCTTCCGCTCAACAGTGTTTACACTGCTAACATTGCCTCCCCTGCGTAGTGCCCTACACTGTAACGTTTCTCCCCTGATAATAATACACTGTAACATTCTCCATCGATAGTAATACCACTGCTACATTTCTCCCTGAATAGTAATACACTGTAATCATTTCTCCACCTGATAGTAATACACTGCTAACATTTCTCCCCTCGATAGTAATTACACTGTAACATTGCTTCCCCTGCATAGTAATACACTGTAATGTTCTCCCCTGATAGTAATACACTGTAACGTTTCTCCCTGATAGTAATACACTAGTAACGTTGGCTCCCCTGATCAAGTAATTACACTGTAACATTTCTCCCTGATAGTTTAATACACTGTACACTTGCCTCCCCTTGATATGTAATACACTGTAATGTTTCTCCGCCTGATAGAATACACTGTAACATTTCTCCCCTCCCATGATAGTAATACACTGCTAACATTGCTCCCCTGATAGTAATACACTTAATGTTTCTCCCCTGATTAGTAATACACTGTAACATTGCTCCCTGATAGTAATACACTGTAATGTTTCTCCCCTGATAGTAATACCACTGTAACGGCATTTCTTCCCCTGATAGTAATTACACTGTAAGTTTCTCCCTCTGCATAGTAAATACACACTGTAACATTCTGCCTCCCCTTGATAGTAATACACGTGTAACATTTGCTCCCCTGATAGTAATACACCTTGTAACATGCTCCCCCTGATAGTAATCACTGTAACATTGCTCCCTGATAGTAATACACTGAACATTGCTTCCCCTGATAGTAATACTACTGTAACATGGCCTCCACCTGATAGTAATACACCTGCTAACATTTGCTCCCCTGATAGTAATACACTGTAACATTTACTCCCTTGATAGTTTTACACTGTAACGTTTTCTTCCGCTGATAGGTAATACACTGTAACATTTCTCCCCTGATAGTTATACACTGCTAACATTTCTCCCCTGATAGTAATACACTGTAACATTTTCTCCCTGATATAATACACTGTAACATTTCTCACTGATAAGTAAATACACTGTAACATTTTCTCCCTGATAGTAATACACATGTACATTTCTTTCCTGATAGTAATACCACCTGCCTTAACATTTCTTCCCTGATAGTAATTACACTGTAACATTATCTTCCTGATAGTAACTACACTTGCTACATTGTTCCCTGGTAGTAATACACGTGTTAACGTTTTCTCCCCTGATAGTAATACACTGTTAACGTTTCTCCCCTGCAATCAGTAATAAATGATAGTAGATGGCCCTGCTTAGGCCATAATAAAAATATGTTTGGTTTGCCCTCACCCAACTACCCGCCAAAAAGGGGCCGACTCAAAAGATTTTATTGATCTTTCCCATTCTTTTCTTTTCTTTTTACAAATTGTATCATCCACCGCTACATTATATAAATCTGTAGGCAATACATTATATGTAGCCAAGCAAAACAAACTTCAACTATAAAACGATATTTCGCCACACAGCACACCCGAGCATGTAGACACCATGCTGAATTTGTAAAAAGACCCCGCTCAAATAAAAAAAGCCGACCTACCTACACCAAACCTTTTTCAGCCTGGGTCGGCCTGTGGATGGCGCAAACAAATATTTTTTTAAATTGTGGCGTACCTGCACGATCCGGTCGTAGAGCCGCCCCTCGTCTACGACGATCGTATAGGACGTCTCTAGGAAGTACGGCTCATACTCGTTCACATCCTCCACCGTCACGCGCACCGTCGCACTGCAAACAACACCAACACCAACGTCAACGTACGTCAACACCAGCATCACCATCGACACCAACACCATCGTCAACACCAACATCAACAACAACATCAACAACAACATCAACATCACTATCAATGTCAATAAAAACAACAACGTCACTATCAATGTCAACAAAAACATCAACAACAACATCAACAACAATATCAACGTCACTATCAATGTCAACAACAACATCAACGTCACTATCAATGTCAACAACAACATCAACGTCACTATCAACATCAACAACACCATTAACAACAACATCAACAACAATATCAACGTCACTATCAATGTCAATAACAACATCAACGTCACTATCAATGTCAACAGCAACATCAACGTCAATAACAACATCAACGTCACTATCAACGTCAACAAGAACATCAACGTCATTCTCATTGTAAATAGAAATGGCAAAAATCGACATTAACATCAATGTCACACAATCAATGCGAGCGCATAATAGCATAATATAAACACGCAACATAACAGAGACAATCACATTGTTCATGTAGTCTTTACATCACTCATTATAGCTATTATGACTTCATACATTGCTTAGAGCTATATAAAATAATAGATCATAATAAGTAGTAATAATAATAGCTACATAATGGATTTAGCGCAACTTTATCGGCTTCTTAACAACGCTGCACACTTTTATCATTAGGTTCTTGGCTTCCCCTTTTAGTATAATGTGCTCATTCTCTGGTCTCCCTCCCTCTCACTCTCCGTCTTTCTCTCTCTCCCTTCCTCCCTGCCTTTTACTACATCCTCCAGCGCTCTTTCTCTCTTCCTCCTTTCTCTTTCTCTCTCTCTCTCTCTCTCTCTCTCTCTCTCTCTCTCTCTCTCTCTCTCTCTCTCTCTCTCTCTCTCTCTCTCTCTATCTGCCTCTCACAAGAAATTAATTATGATACGACTAATAGCCGATGTGATGTAAACGAGGACACGCCAACAGGGAATAAATAAGTGATCAGAGATACGGCCGCAGCTTGACCGACGGACGGACCCGTGACCTTGGCGTTAACAGCGACGCAGGGAACAGCAGCGTGGAGCAGTGGGAGCAGTCAAACCCGTGAAGCTTGCCCAATTACGCCAGCTCCGGCTTATACGCGCTGCAACCACCCACCACCTTTAGCGCGACACGAGAAAATGATTAATATTCTCTAACGGCGCCATTCACACAAACTCCGCACCGAGCCAAATCCCGGCTGCAAGGCTGCGGGCGCTTTATATTGAGTGTCTCGCTGGAAAATTGGGCAGAAAGCAAAATTCGATTAAAATGCAATTTCCATTGAAATATGCTGCGGGTCTTCAATGCTTGGCAATAATAACTCTGCGGCCGATTCCACGCGTCTGCAGGGAAAAAGGGGTGGGTTACAATTACAATCAGCATCCACAGAAGCACAATCACACACACATACAGGGGCGGGGGGCAATTCAATTCATCAACCTACGCGAAGTAAAAAAATACGGCACGACAATCTAGAGAGATAATAAAGTATGGGACGATACTCTAAAACAGGAGTAAAGAAAGTCGCTATATATAACCTTCGAAGAAAGGGAGAAGATTAGCCATTATAAGCTATTGGGGGGGGGGGAGGAATTAATTATTTTCACCTGCCGGCGAGAAAGAAACTTATTTTAATCTAATGAAGGAGGAATAAATCCTGTAAGCACACTAGCAACGTTCTTATCGCGTGAATTAATATATTTTAGGCACAAATCTCTACAATGACGATGAAAAGGTGAAAGAAAATAATTACGATGCCGCTCCTAGTGACGATGAAACCGATGAGAAAATGAAGATCGAAAAGATGAAAGGAAAACGTAAAAGAAGAAGAGGAAGAGGGGAGGAAGAAGGAGCAGGCGCAGAATACGATGATGAAGAAGAACCCTTGAAGAAAGGAAGGAAGGAAGGAAGGAAAGAAAGAAGGAAGGAAAGAAAGAAAGAAATAACGGGAGACGAAGACGAAGAATAAAAAGATGAAATTAAGTCTGCCTAGTCACTACCGCTGCCCCCACACTCCTATTCACATATAATTGCAAAGAATATATTTATATATATTTATTTTTGCATTTATTTACTTTCAGTAGCAGTATAACGGATATAACGGGTATATTAACGAATACCGACGTGGGAAACACATACGGAAACAACGCTCGCCAATCGTTAGCCGAAATGAAACGTCCCTAACAGAATTAAACAAGTCCCACGGAGCATCAGCGTTCAATTAGCGCCAACTGCTGCTGCCGCTAACGCTACTGTTGCTGTTGTTATTGCAGCAGCTGCTGACGGCGGCGGAACCACCACTACTACCACTACTGTTACTGCTGCTGCTGTTGTCGCTGTTGTTGTTGTTGCTAGTGTTGTTGTTGTTGCCGCTGTTGCTAGTATTGTTGTTATTGGTGTTGTTGTTGTTGTTGTCACTGTTGCTAGTGTTGTTGTTGTAGTTGCTAGTGTTGTTGTTGCTGTTGTTGTTGTTGTTAGTGTTGTTGTTGTTAGTGTTGTTGTTGTCGCTGTTGCTAGTGTTGTTGTTGCTGTTGTTGTTGTTAGTGTTGTTGTTGTCGTTATTGCTGCTGTTGTAAATTTTGGTGCTGGTGCTACTGGTCCTTATTTGTTTACTGCCGCTACTTACGCTCTGCCGCTGCCGTTGCTACTGCTGTTTATACCGATTATACTGAGCTACTTCTGTTAATGCAGCTGATGTTGTTACTGCTGCTACCGCTGCGTTAACAGATGTCACTGCCCAAAGAAGAAGAGGATTTGTTGTCGTTACTGATCCGTTATTTGCCCATTAGTTGTACACTTTGCGACCGTCAGCTTCACCACTTCACACAAACTCTGAAACGAACTCAGCTGTGAACTCGCTTCGATGTAATGCGCATGCGTACTAACCCTACTGTACGTGTCTTGCACATGGCGACCAAGCTAGAGGTAAAACACGTATATATGTGAGTATACACACTCTCTGATGCACGTGTGTATGCGTGTGTGTGTGTATTCGTGTGTGCGTGCGTGCGTGCGTGCGTGCGTGCGTGTGTGTGTGTGTGTGTGTGTGTGTGTGCGTGCGTGCGTGCGTGCGTGCCTCAAAATTCCTCTGAAACCAACTGCCTGTGTTTCGCACTGCCCCGGCTCACCCTCACAAGCCATATATATGTGAGCACCGTATAGTCAGCTAGGGTTCTTATGTCAAAAATATGAGGTTCGCTGGATATTTTGGAGATTTGCAAATATATGCATTTCTGTAATCTTTACGATGTACTGAATCGGAAAACCAATGTTTAGATTTAAAAAATGCATATTATGGCGACCATTTTGGATTTCAAAATGGCCGCCATTTTCAACATATGATATATGATTTTTAATATCTCAGCTTCTGGACCACTTAGGATTTTTATTTCAATGGCTAACCCTACATTTTAAGGGGTGCAGAATCCAAAAAACACATTTAAATCATGCTAAAATATTCATAAATAATAGTAGGGAAAGCGTCAGTGTTCGTGATCGCGGCATGGCGAATGTACGTAGACACGGACTAGCACAGGCATCATTGCACGAACCGCATTCCGACGAGAACGCCAGACGAGATAAAAATTCGCGTATTACTTTCTCGACGAATAATAAACCGTGTTGATATTAAATATACACCGCGACAGCTGCACACCACTGCCCACCGCTAATTTTTCGCTAATAAACCGAATATTTCACTGCAGAGGGCTTCAAACAGCAGTCACCGTCTAGCAATAACAGGGATGCGGCCTCGGCTACTGTGCACTGCAAGCCACCACAGCGATGCCGTCCCACGCTCACTCCTGCTGCCAAGGTTTCCACAATCTCAATCGCGCTCTACAAACGGCATATGCCGCCAAAGCTAAAATAAATTTCGCATTCAATATCGTTATAATCATCTCTAAATGGATAACAATTTCCCCCTCCGTTTCTTCTCTCGCAATGGCTTTTATTTGCCCGAATTTCCGCACATGAATGTTCGACAATTTGCGTGGCAGCAAACTTCATCTCCGATGCACTGCTGCCTAATCCACACGCAGCAGCCCGCAGTAGCGGGACACTGAGGGAGGGAGGGAAAGCAAGAAAGAAATGGGCGGGAAAGAGCGAAAGAGAGAGGGAGAGAGAGAGAGAGAGAGAGAGAGAGAGAGAGAGAGAGAGAGAGAGAAAGGAGAGGGGAAGGGAGAGTAGAGAAAGAAAGGCAAAGGGAGAAAGAAAAAGAGAGGGGAAGAGAAACAGAAAGGGGAGAAACACAGAGATACAGAGAGAGACAGAGAGAGAGAGAGGGGGCGCGAAAGAAGAGAGGGAAAGAGAAAGAGAACGTGATAGAAAGAAACAGAGAGAGTGAGAGAGAAAGGGGAAATAAAGAGAGAGAGAAAGGGGAGAGAGAAAGAGAGTAAAAGAGCAAATAAAGAGAGAGAGAAAGGGGAG